ATCGGAACGCCGTATAATAAAAAAAAGTGTAAATCTCGGTAGTCGCAGAAACAAAAAAAAAAAAAAAAAAAAGAAGCAATAAAAATTTATGTTGCATCTTAACAAAAATGCAGGACAAAAATATTATTTTAATTTTTTAATGCTCAATACCAAATAACCTGAGAAAACCTCAGCATCCTAGGGTGCCAAAGGGCGGTGTTATCCTTCAGGTTAGGTTACGGGCCACCTTCCTATTTCTGCACAGGCTGTGCAACACCAGTGCAAAGTTCGCAGGAGCCAGGAGGGTGGCCGGACAGGCACTACGTGCACAGCCCACCTGCTCTGCAGAGGTGGGAGTTTGCTTTTGTCTGCTCACGCTGCCTCTGGCATGGCCAGCCCCACACCTGAGCTCAGCCTTAGCACTGACTCACCATGGCATGCTGTGGGATGTGATTGCATGTGAAATGCATGTTTGAGTCTACCAGGAACGTATCCCTCTTCTGTTCTACCTGTGAAACTCGACTTTCTGCTCCAAGGGCATCTTTGGATTCCCTGGTTTTCCCCCAACGCAGTCCCCTCGCACTGAGGATAGACTCTCACCAACTKCAGTAGCTCTGACCAAGAAAAACAGGACAGCAAGTGCATGCAGGAAGCATCACRTGCAAGTTGATGCTAATGGGACTCCACACACCTGCTGGGAGCTRGACTGACATCTTTTGAAGGACTAGRAGGGTCTTCATCCACTGACGWGGTGGACAGCAAGCTTCGATGCCTTCGACGACGTTCYCTTTGCTGCTCTTCTTCGTCCTCAAGGGTCCTCTGCCTGGCCAGGCTGTTTGGGATGAAACACAACGTCGCTGTGAGGTTCAGTGTCYTGGACACGGAGGCAGTTCCAGAGAAAGGAGGCTGCTGTGTCCTGGGCAGCAGCGCACCACGAGGCAAGAGGCCAGGCCTGGAGGGAGGCTGTGGTGCCCCAGCAGCCCTGCAGGGCTGGAGAGCAGGGACAGGCCACCACGGCAGCGCAAAGCAGGTCTTGCAAAGCTGCCCCACTCCACCCAGCTGAGGCAGGCATTTCCCAACACCACCACTTGACTTCTTTACAACTCCCAATTCCTTCTGCTAGAAAGAGCATTCRCTTAAGAGGAACCCTTGCATTAAGCAAGCTTTTCTGCAGAAGGGTATTTAACCTGCAAAGCAGCAAGGTTAGGATGTTTTCCCAGCCAGTAGTGGCAGATCCCCAGGGCCTGGCTCCAGAGCAGGACCTTGGAGTGAGGCACGATGGGGCGCAGACCTTTCCTCAGCACTTGTCATCCCTATTTTTCCCRGCACTGGATTCCCACCATCCACCCTCCTCCACCATCCCTTCAAGGGGGTTTCTCAATGGAAAAAAACACACAATGGTTTTTACTGATCCCTCCTGGTGTCTTAGGTCTGGAGCTGGCACTCCAGTTTCACATCGGCTCAAGGTTTCCTTTGAATTTGGCTTGTAAGAATGTGAAATTCGGAGCAGGCCCAGACCTGCAGTGTCACTAATGTCACTGCAGATACAGTGAGTCGCAGTCCAGTTACAAGTTACTGTGTAATGAAATCTCAGTCATAAATTAAACCACATTACCTGCTGCTCTTCCTGGTCTACGGAGGCGGGGGAGAGTCAAGGGATAAGAAAATCAGGGCAGAAAGTCAAGGGGGAAAGTTACACCATGGGGGAAAACTCAGCACATCTCTGCTCCCTGCCAGTGGCCAGACTGACCACCACTGGAGGTCAGAGGAACCCAAGGATGATCCGCAACCCCAGGTCTTGCACCAAGGATGGAGAGGGATGGACTGAGGATCCATCCCAGAGCCTGAAGGAGTCACTTGAATGTGTTGGCACCCCAGAGCTGCCCTTGCCCTGAGAGGGGACGCTCCTTGTAGAGCTCCATGTGACTTCACTGGCAGCTGTTGTGTCTGTGGGGCTCAGCCTGTAAATATTTATATATGGCTTAGCTGCATCGGAAAGGGCGGCAYGGCTTTATTTGCATGGCACCCTGTGACGTCCTGGCAGGACGCACCGTGGCTGTCCTGCTGCGCACAAATTCCCACCGGGAAGGGCTAGCACCTGTGTGTGGATGTAGACACTGAGGTGCTTCCACACGTGTTGCATCTCACAGTATAACGGTATGGAGCACAATGCAAGAGCCAATTGCTTCCTTGTTTTGCATGAACAGGCTTCTCCCAAATGGAAATGAGATTTTCCTGCTTTGCATTCCTTGGGCTCCTCCAGAGGCAGCATTATCAGCATGCAGTTTCTCACTACAAGTAATTAAGTAATTCAAACACTAGGTTATGGATTTGTTTTGCCGACGCTTCCCTCCTCTTTCCCAAGTGGAATTTAGTTTTCAGTGTCTTATCCTTTTTAACATCAAAGATACGAATAAGAAAAGATTTGCACCTCCCCCCACCTTGTCCTCTCCTGCCCTGTTAATTATTAGTGTTCAGGTTGTTGACATTTATGCTATTTCAGTTAACATTGTCCCATCTAAGGAGAGAACAGAAATTGCCTTTCTGGGTTATAAAACAACCCGAGTGCTGGATCCTGCTTGAGCTGCATTCAGGCAAGGCTGGGGTTAAAGCGTGGCTTGGACAACATGGATCTGCACGACTTTTGGATGTGGCCTCCGTGCAACRGGGTCTTACGTCATTCCCATTTCCCAGCTGACTGTGGAGAATGGCTTAGTAGCATGGTGGCAACAGAGATGAGCAACGAAACTGGCAAAACTACAGCTGTTTTGGGGGGTCCTTGTGGGCATCCTGTGTCACAGCAAAGCCAGGCCACTCCAAGACACTGCATCCATTCAAAGTATGATTTGGGTTGTGTCTTCTGCAAGACACGACTCACTATGTCCCATCTGCACAGTCAGGAACCAAGGTCAAAGCCACTTTCCTTGTTCCAGWCCCTGGCAACAGGTTGGGAAAGAACTCCAAGTCATGGAGGTTTCTTGGTAGCCACGGACGCCTCTGAATCAGTCAGCAATGCCCAGGAGCCTCCTTTGCCCAGATTCTGACCTGATCTCCGTCAACCAAAAGTTCTTTTTAGGAAAGGCCAAGTGGTTACAGGGATTGCTCAGTGACTGCGGATGAATCAGGGCTTACTCAGCATCAGATGGACAGAAGCTGCAACCCTCCTGCACAGGCACGGAGCCATCCCAGTGGGACCACATACCTCCATGCAGAGGACTGCATGGACACAGGTTGAGCACAGGACCCTGCAGCTGCCTCCAGAGCCAGCCCGGAGGCGAAGCGTCTGGTTGCCTCCTCTAGACCAAAAGTCCATCCACTGCAAAGGCCAAAGACATGTTTCCACACGGTTTTCCTATTCAGACATGAGTATTCAGCTTCCCCAGGCAGCAGAAACAAGAGCGTCTCTGATCTTGCCCACGCATGAGGAACTGCAGCAACAATGAAGCACTCGGYAGGGCTGGCACCACCTCTGCCTCTGCGAGCAACCGCCCCGGTGCCAGAGCTGCCCCTTCGCTCTCATCCCTCTTCAGCACCTCTCACCCTCCCTCGCCCAAGGCTCGCRACGCCCCGAGCCCACCTCGAGCCCGTAGAAAGGGGTAAGCATTAAGTCGCAGCACCTACCTGGAGAGATCAGACCAGTTCCTTCTGTTAAAAGACATCCTTCCTTTCCGTGAGCTTCAGCGGGCTCCGAAAGCTTGCACGGGCGCCAAGGCCAACTCATGCACGAATYCCCGGGGATCTGCACTGCTCAGAGCCTCTGCGTCCCAAGGAAGGAGGGACTCCCTCCAAGGTTATTTCCCTGTGCACCTTTACCCTGCCTTGCAACCCATTTACTACCGGGCTGCATCACATGGTCTCTTATCTACCTTGACAGAGGCAAGGCTGTAATTTGCCGACTAGCAGCGCCGGGCAAAAGACGCCCTACCCGGGAGTGCCACGCAAAAGCAAATCACTCTCTGCTGCCTGGTGTGCCAGGGTTCAAATGGAGACCCAGGCTCAGGGTTTGATCCATCCTGGTCTSCCAGGGTTTCGGAGACAACTCCCTGCTGAGAACCTGTTTTACCAGCCACCCTCCGCCTGTCAACAACTCCTCCAGCGCTGGCCTGTGGAGGAGGTGAATTACCTTGGGCTGAGTGGGAGGAGGCAGCGAGTTGATCCAACACTGGCTCCCAGGTATCCAAAACAGTCATTAAAACACCTCCACCTGGGCGCAATCCAACCCTTTGCAGAGAACAGAACATGGGAGGGTGCACCGGTCTTTGCAGCCTTCCCCAGACGTCTGTGTTTTAACAATCRCAGCGTTCCCTTAGTTATGACTTTTACTGCAAGAAAAAGCAAACACAGATTTTGGAGGAAGTCCCTGAAGGCTGAAAGCACCTGGGTCTTGAGGTGCCATGTCTGGAGGTGGGGAAAAGCACAAATTTTTGAGTGTTGAAGCTCTATGCCGAATGGTGACTGTGACCTGGCTCATCATGTGCCCAGCCCTGTCCCTTTCCCTCTATCCTCCCTCTAGGCTGGAACTGGGGACAGAGCAATGCTGTCCTTGCAAAGGTCAAGCATAAAAACAGTGAGGGCACTGGCTCATGGAAGTGGAAGGGATATCGCAGATAAAGCCTACCTGAGATTGAGYCTCTCCTTTGCCTGAGTGGCTGCAGCTCTTCTCAGATGAGTCCAACAAACTGAGGTACATCAGGGAAGCTGAGCGTTAAACCGCTCCCAAGACTGCTGCAAACCCAGGTTCCCTTCTGCATGGCTGCTGAGGAGATGTGGTCTGGCCCTGACGTGCAGGAGGACATCTGGAACTCACAAGGCAGCTACATGCACTGGATGGGGCCGGGTCACCCATGTGCTGTTCATAGTGGAGACCTGCAGAAGAAGGTGTCTGGGGCCGCTTGAGTATGAATCCAGTCCCTGATTCCTTTGAGACACATCTAGCCTTCCATCATYTTCCCCATCCTGTACATGGGACCTTTTCACCCATCCAGCTGATAYCTGAGATATCACATGAGTAGCATCTCCTGTCCACTCTGGGTGCTCAGGGCACACTCGAGGGTAATGATGACACATGAGCATTGTCCAGCGTGGTCCAAGGACATCGTGAAAGGAGCCACATGGCCTTGCAGGACATCCTTCTGACCCTTCACTCAAGCCTACTGGGCTCTCCTACCACCACTACTGTCTCCTTACGTCTCATTCTCAGTGCTACTAGACCTAAGAGATTGATTACTAGGTTTGATTACTAGGATTGATTACATGCTGCATGTGTCCAGCTCATATGTGAGTGCCTGGGACCTTAACAACCAAATGAACTATTTCAACCAAAGATTCCTGACTAAAATACCATTTTTAAAGGGGAGGCCTGCCATACGTGCCACCTACTCACATCTCTTTCTCTTTTTTTTTTTTTTTTTGCTTTTTGCAATCACAAATTGTCTTGCAAATGATTTCATGCACAAAGTCCATTAAGTAGCATTATAAATCAACAAATTTACTTARATAACCTTGTGAGTGTCCTGCTATTTGCTGGCAATCTATAAATAGCAGTCCAGCATAAGCAAGGAGCTGTAAAGCAATAAACCTTTCTGATTAATGCACAGCGAGCACTTCACTTGAAAAGCTCATTGCCAAAGGATATCACTGAAGCAAAGGACTTAACAGGATTTTGAAAAGGATTAGACTTAATGTAGTGAAAGAACACCCCCAGCTAGGATCTACACTGCAAATGAATATAAAACCTCACGCTTTGTGATTCCTCTTATTATTAAGAAGAAATTCTAGAAAGTCGTTTAATGGCCTGGGATTAAGAGGAGAACAAGCATCCTTGAGACTTGTCCCTCACACTCCTCCAGTCTTTATTTTCAGCTCAGAGGCCTTCTGACTTAAACATAGTTCCCTATATATTGCTATATATTTAAGAACCTTCAGTGGGCTTCTCTTCCATGAATTTGCTGGGTTTCCTTCAATCRGACAAACTTATACCCATTGCCCCTTGTCCTGTCACTGGTCACCACTGAGAAGAGCTTGGCTCCTTCCTCCCTACATTCCCCCTTCAGGTACGTATATATATTATATACTTATACATATTATATATACTTTTACATATATATACTTACACATATTAATCAGATCCCCTCTCAACCTTCTCCAGAGAAAACAGGGCCAACTCACTYAGTCTTTCCTTGTATGAGAAATGTTCCATTCCCTTAATCATCTCTGTTGCCCTCCRCTGGACCCTCTCTAGAAGCTCCACATCCCTCTTGTCCTGGGGAGCCCAGAACTGCCCACAACCGCACACTTYTCACCCCTTTCCCAGGTCATTCAGGAACAGGTGGAACAGCAGAGGTGCAGCAGAGACTCTGCTGAAACTCCACAGGTGACCGTGCAAGAATGATCACTCACTCCTCCCTCTTTGCTCACTGATTATTTATCTGTCCTTGGGTTTTTCTTATTATCCATGGGTTTMTAAAGGCCTTCAATAAAAAGCATTCTGGAAATGCAGGAAGACTGTATCTACTAGGTCCCCCTTATCCATGGACTTGTCCATCCCTGCAGAGACCAGCAGCAGCTTTGTAGGACTAGACTTCCCTTTACAAAAGCCCAATTGGCTGCACCTGAGCTCCTCACCAAAGGAATGTTCACCAGCCCAGACCATAATGCAGCTCCAGAAAGCTGGAGGTTATGAAATTAGGCTAAGGCAGGGATGCTAGCTCAGGGAAAACAGTCTATCATTTATCTAGATCTGGTCTAAAAACTAGGCTGCCAAATCTGCTGTTCTAGATCTACAACCAGGAGGGGTAAGTTAGGTGATCCTTAGCGGAGGGAGGTGTGATGCAGGAACCTGTTGTGTATAAACAAGGTTGTAAAATGAAGCTGCACTTCTGGCACCTCTCTGCCCAGGGAGAGCTTTGCTGTGTGAGGASCTCAGGGAGGCCAGACCTTCATCTGATGCAGATCAGAAAACCCCTGCAGGACAGAGGTACCCTCGGTACCTGAACAGTGGCTACACTAGTCTCAGCTGGGTTTTTTTTTTTCCTGCTCCCTTGAGAACCATGTACTGTGCCTCATTGCTATGCAGAGCCTGTTTCTTTGGCCACAGGGGTGTGGAGAGCTTCCAGCTTCCATAACTGCAATTAGGACATTCCTCAACCTTGCACAAGGCCCCAGGGGTGAAGCCTACACTTCCACCCTCTTTGCTCTTGCTGTCCTCCAGCACTGGGGCCAGCTCTGCCTCTCCTCTAGCTCCACAGGTTCATCCCTGCATTGCTGCCCATGATGGACTTGGGGAGTCACCACGGTCTACACTTYCCCAGGAGGCGAAAATATCAAGCAAAAGGGGCTTTTGGCCCTTGCTCAATGTAGTCCTTGYACCTCATGTTGGCCTAGGAGTACAAAAAGCATCCCTTTGCCGTGCAATGATGCCCCATGGATGCCAGTGTCCTTCAGACTCCCATTTGCTTCTGCAGGTCGGTTGAGATGCCACCYGCTCTGATGCCCCAAGGTCTTGTCTTATGATGGAGTAGCATGTTTCATCTTGCTTTATACGGCCAGGGAAGGAAAGGGACGCAGAGCTGGTTCTTGACCAGGTTCTTGTGACAGCATGCGGACCTGGCGCAGCCAAGCCAACAGTCCACCAGGTTTCTTCTAACGAAGCTGCATGTGCTGTGCTGCTCAACAGCTCGTTGCAAAGTGTAACCAGCTGCCAGCTCTGCGCAGACACCGTGGAGGCCACGGGGGGCCRTGCAGAGGTAATGTTTAACTTCCCTGGCATTAACCTCTGCAAAGAGCAGGGCACTGCGGACTGACCCAGGGTGGATTTCAGAGGCCGTGGGACAAGTTTATACCTTCCTTCCCTGGCGTTATGGGTGCTCGCCCTCCTCCAGCTGCAGTGCTCCGGCCACCGGTGGAGCTGCTGATACGCTTGGGCAAGTGCTTGGGCCCAGCTCAAATGTCTCTAGGCGCTGTCTGGTTACCAAGGAGGTCACGGAGCATCCTCAAAAAGGAATGGACCATTTTACAAACAACTAGGAGTGACATATTCGAAAGACAGGGTCAGACCCAGCCCTTTCCTATCTGCCTCCTTGCTAACACACAGCTGCAATTTTGACAGCAAGACCTTTCTGGTGGAAATATTGCAAACAATTAGAGACTGCTCTCAGCATCATCTTGTCTTTCTAGGGAGAGGACGTTGTATGTCACTGAATTTTGATTGAATTTAAGCAAAAAGAGGTCACAAAAAGGTTCCCTTCTCCTTCAGAGAAAAGAAATAGAGAGCTGGCAATGCCWTGGGATTGCTGGCAGAAACCAAAGCCATAGTCAATCAAGGCCATGGTGTTATCAAAGCAAAGTGCATCCTGGTATGAATGGCATGACAGCTCGCCTTGCTTCTCCTTGCCAATGGGGAAAGCTGGGCCCCCGTCTGACCCAGAGCAGAGGAGGAAGAGAAGTCAAGGTCCTGCTCCAAACAGAAGCGTGCAGACACCGTGGTGCTTGGAGTGGACTGGAGCCTTCATCCCTGTAAAGAACTGAGGCTTTTCTGTGTTTCTAACAAAGCTGAAATCCCRTTTCCTGGCTGTTTCCATGCCTGCTCTGTGATCAGCCAACAGTAAGAGCAGGACACGGCGAGTGGAGGCCATCATATGCCAACTGTCACAGTTGAAAACATAGATGAACTTAGAGAGCAAAGAGGCTTTTTTTGTTTGTTTTGTTTTGTTTTGTTTCCCCCCTTATCCTAAAGCACAGGCTATATAAGATAGGAGTGTGGGGGCTCCAGAGACCTTGCTGAGTGGGCCCTTGCTGCAGAGGAGGCTCGTGAGGCCTCTGGGTTTTGCTCTGTGGCAGTTTGGGGTGTTYCGGTGCAGATCCAGAAACCGACCATGAGCTGGGCACAGGCTGGCTGAGGTGGGACCACGTTCTCAGCAGCCGTCAGCCCTCTTGCCTTTCATCTCCCGCTCCCCGCTCTGCAAAAGCCAACCACCTCTTTCTTTCAAACTGCCAAATTACCATAATTAAACAAAGCTCAGAGCAATTGTTCTCCACCAGGACTTGGCTTGCTATTTTCTGCCAGTTTCTGGTCTGAAGAGCGCTTTGTTTCCATGAAATCACTCCGCATTTTCCAGCTATACCAGTTGGTCAAGTGAGAGATACTGCCTCTCCCTCCACCCCTTTCTTGCTGTGCCAGGATCCCTGCAGAGTGTGTGAGCTCCCCCGGGGATAGTGCATGCAGCGAGATCTCAGGACACTGCTTTGGCGTGGATCCCACTGGAGCAGCGAGCTTGGAGCGGTGAAATTGCAGCCCAAACCCTTTGCCATGGGACCAACTGACCCACAGAGGCAGCCCTCGCACCCTGTCCCCCCRCTGCAGCTGTCAGGGTCCCACCTGCAGCTGTTTGCCCCACGGAGTGCTCTGCAGCCCGTGCATTTCCAGCGTGCATTTCTTTGGTGCGGGGCGATCGTCTCCGAATCGCTCAGGAGGTCACGCTCGTGCTTGCCAGCTATGTGTGTTGAGATGCTTAGGGTGAGGACGGGCGGCTGCATGCTGCCTTCAGCAAGGGCAGCGTGTCCTGACACTGTGTGAGGCTCAGATGCGCTGCAGAATTAAGTTTGGGAAGGTAAAAAACAGGTTAAAAAGCCCTTGTGGCCCATGCAATCACTCTGGCCATGCAGAGGGTGGTCCTGCCCCCAAGTTAGCAGGAGGCTGATGGGGATGGAGGGAGAGGAGTTTATTTCAGGTGGAAATAGGGAGGCTGAGCCTCTGCATTTATTAGTGGAGGAGAGTGAATGTGGATTTTCCAGCTAACAAGTACTTCCTATTTAACTCTACAGGTAGATTTGGGGATGGTTCTTATATCAGGTCTCAAAATCACTGTCACTCCTGTTTATAGACCTGTACTTTGCTCCAAGTCCACGGTGCCCCATATACTTTACAAGCTCAGCAGAGATGGGGGAGTGCTGCCAAACACCTGAGGTGCGGCCCAGGTTGGAAGCTCTGCATGCTGCTACTGCTCTGAAGACCTCGGGGACGAGGCACTTCCACAGCATACCAAGAACTTAGGACTTGGTTAGGGCTGAGCCTCTTCCCACTCAGCGTTTCACAYGGTGCAGGCAGGCAGAAACCCTTTTTCAGTCCAAATTCACACCAGTTCTCACTTCTCCTCCTTCCATCCCCGCTGCTGGGATGGGTCGGTGCATTCCTGGCTTGGCTGCACACCCACTGTAGGTTGGTGATTAGGAAATCACAGGCCTAGCGAGGCATCCTGAGCTGCTCGCACTCAAAGGCGGACTCAGCTCACGCTCCCCTGAAACCGCTCGGACTCGCTCCGTCCTGAAACCAGACGGCAGCTCTTCCCACAGCGCCCGGGCTCGAGACGGGAGCCGGCGGGAGCAGCGCAGCGGCGTGCGGGGAGGCACCGCTACGTGAGCAAGCTCGCGAGGCACTTCCAAAAACAAAGAAGACAGCAGGGTGCGGGAAGCCTGCAGGCAGCTGACTCCTCCCTGAGGATGCCCAAGATGCACTGAGTTTGCTTGGGAAGCTGGTGCATTTTTAGAGGCCAGAAAGCACCGTGGTGCTTGGGKAGAGAGCGGCCCTGCATTGGGGCAGGGGTTCCCAACGGGGCAAGGGGGCACCAGGAAAAGGGGGCTGCGGCCTTGCTGGGAGCCAGGCTAGAGAAGAGGGGCCCAATGAGTCAGTTGCCTGGGAGCACTGCCGGTGTGAGCAGCACATGGGGATGTCACGGGGTGGAGGGCAAGGACAGAGGTATCTTCCCCAGCAGGAACTGCAGCCCTGGCCAACGCTCCCGCATTGCTTCAGTGAAGAGCACACGCCACGCTCCGCCCGGGACACYGTCCTTTAATGCATGTACAACTGCACGGAAGCATCTCGGGCTGCACGTGTCGGAGGACGGGGGAGCAGGGAGACCAGCAGCCGTCTCCTGGGCCGCTCTGCAGCAGAGGGAGGAAAGGGAGAGTCCCTTGGAGCTGCACGCCCAGCATGGACATGCACAAGCTGCCCGTGAGAAGAGGTGACCTGCATTGTGCCAGTTGGCGGAGGAGCACCAGCAGCCCCTTGGCAGAGTTGGTGACGCCTGTGGCACCTGAGAGCCCTTGTGCTGGGGCCATCCCAGAGCAGGGCTGATTGCACGAGTAAGGTAAGACCTGCACGCAACTGCAAACCAGGGTGGATGGAAAGGAAGATGGTCGAATCTCCTTCCCAAGCAGATGTCCACACAATGGAGCTCGGTGGTGAATTCAGGGTAGGGGCGTAAGGAGCAAGGAGGGGCAGTGAGGGAAAGGGAGGCAGACAGCGGGATCGGGGAGGCTCTTCTTCCTGGCCTGACACTCCTGCAGAGAGAAACAAAGCAGAGCAATGGGGCAAAAGAGGAGTTTGGCTCAAAGCTGCCAAAGCTGATGCTGGAAGTGTCGGTGGAGCCATAGCTGCCTGCCCATGTTGGGGACATGTTGGGGACATGTGCGCTGGAGACCCAGCACATGTGCTGGAATATCCAGGGTATGAAAACCCCAGGAGAGGAGCGSGTGCCCTCTCTGCATTCCCCCAGCTACACGCAGCACTTGGGGCTATTAGAAGTAGTTCAGAGCACAGCGGGATGGTGGGCTGGTTGCCATACCTCTCACTGGCCCGTAGGGGACTTGGCAGCGTCGAACATCTTCTTTCGGCCCTCCATACCCGACATGGCCTCCACGTTCTTGCGCCAGTCGCCCACTTCCACAGGGCGCTCCTGCAGAAGGAGATGGGTTCGGGGATGTCATGGACTGTCTGTTGGCCCCGTGCTGCTCTCACCTGGCACAAAGGCCACACAAGGAAGACAAGYTTCTGGGAATTATTCCACATTTATACCAGCCTACTGGGGCAAACACAAGTAAATACACCTTCAGCAGAGAGGTCCTATGCCACATAAAACCCATCTCCACCTTCTCGTGGTGTTTGGAGAGGGATGGGATTGTAATGAGAGCTGGGGAGGAGATGGCTGCTCTGAGAGCATGCCCAGGCATCTGCTTTGCCAACACACAGGTGTTCATAGATTACAAGCTGTGCCCCAAAATCATCTCATGAGATCTAAAATAAACTCAGATCTGTTCACAGCCTGGCACTGGGTCCTGTAAACACACACATTTTCAATCCAAAGGACTAAAATTACGCTCTACTATCAACAATGAAAAAAAAAAAAAGATAAAAAGGGTTCTCTTCAACCAGCTGAGCTAAAACCTGGGGTTAAACATGGTGCCCAGTGAGGAGAGGCACTAGAAAAAGCAGCAGAACTCTTCTAGGGGGAATCTCAGCATGTCATAGCCTGCTGCTGTTCCAAATCAGAACAAGCATGGAGCAAAATCCCCTGTGTTCTCCTTGGGAATGTCAAAGCAGTCTCCAGTGACACTGCCAGGATGGCCTAATCTGAAAGGCAACATCCCAGTCTGTGTGTCAAAGTCCAGCACTAGGACCTCTTGAGCATGCTTTTGCAGCTGGACTGTTCCTGTCTGGCTGTTTCCAGAGGGGAAAATCCTTGTGGGCAGTGGTCAACGTTGCCCATGTCCTCATGGTGGGGCACCTGGGGGCATTGCACTACCTCTCTGGCATTTGAGAGAGATTTTTCCCTCTCCCATCTCTGCAAAGTCAGTGTAAACTGTGTCATTTATTTCACACTCAATGTGCTTGCTGGGCTTGTGCCCCTGCTTTATCTAATCTGCACTTGGGAGTTTCCTGGGTGTTTTCTGTGTGTAAACAGCAGCTCTCCTTCTTCCCAGGAAGGTTGAAGACCAAGCTCAGAAAGTGCAACCTGATAAACATGTAAAGGGATCTGTGCTGCTTTACTCCACCTGAAAGTACCACCAGGCCCTGGGAGAGAAAATTGTTCTGGACATAGCCCTGAATCTCACCTTTTATCATCCACCAGTTATCTGGCCTAGCCAAACAGCTCCCCCATGGTCCTACAATGTCCTGCAATGAGCAATACCTCACAAGGACTATATCCCTTGCTATTCTGGAGGCACAGGGCTTGCAAGGGTTGAATATAACCCTTCATGCTTCAAATGAATGTAGGAGAATAAGCGTATTCCTAGGAGGTCTCCACCTGCAGGCTCTGAGATACCCACCTTCTCTGTGTCCTCCTTCTTGACAGACTTCAGGTTGGCTCTCAGATCCATGGAAACCTTGTGCTTGGAGCCCAGCAGAGCCCTCAACATGGCATCAGCAGAGACACGGACTCGCCGCAGAGGGGGTCGCTTGAACTTTCCCCGGAGGTCTAGCACTTTCAGTTTCAGGTCTTTAATCTGCAGGGTGAGGAAACAAGGTGAAGTGGAAGTTGTTGTATGGCAATATTACACAAAACGCCCCTGTGTGATGCAGGAATCTTTGCTTGCTCCTAGGCCCAGAGGGGTCCCAGCTCCTCCTGCAGCAGGTAGGACTAGCTCCATTGACGGGTTGCCCACCTGAGCACTGACCTGCAGTAGTGGCCTTGTCCCAGCCCACCTGGATGGTGGCCATGCCACATGAGAGACCTCTCAGATCCCCAGGGAGACAGGCCAACCAAGAGAGCAGGGARGTTGCCCAGAGACCCAGCTGACATTAGATAAGCCTGGTGCATGTCCCACACACTCCTGTTCCTACCTCCCGGGTGTTATGGTTGCATTTTGCTTCRATGTCATATCTCTCTTCATCCACGATTTCAACCTTCGCATGCAGCTCCCTGCACAGGTCCTGGGGGATCAGGCACCACAAAAGAGCAGTAAGCGGTGGGCCCTAGTGCTGCCAAAGAGCTCACTTGGTCYTCAGACCCCTGGAAGTACCTGGAGTTGGCTCAGGGAGAGCCCGCTGGTGTGCAGTGGCGTGATGCGCTCAGACAGGTATCTTTCCTTCTCTGCCTGTTTGTCAACGAGCTCCTGATCCCACTCCTCCTTTGCCTTTGCCAGCATCAAGCTCTAGGGAACAAGCAGAAAGCAGAGGACTGAATGGGCAGGCTCCTCTGACCGTTACTCCCTTAGCACAAGGTCTGTAGGATGACAGAAAGTCCCTACCCCTCGCCAGCCCCGCTTTGCTGTGGTTGTCCTCCAAAAATCACTGAGATGCTGCAACACACATCAAAAAAATCCCTCTACCCTTTGTGTGGTGATACTGGAGGCAGGGGAAAATGGGCCAGAGACCTCRGTGGTGATGGCATTCCTGATGGGTGCTGACATGGACACTTCCATCGCATCGCTTTGCTCTGTTGCTGCCTTAAGTGATCTCCCTGAGCCACAACAAATCCTAGGGAGTTTCCAGCCCTTAGGACTCACCTTTAGCAAGAGTTTGCGCGAGGCAGTGATCTTGGATTTTCTCTAGGGGAAAGGGAGACACGAAATGAATCCTTGAAGACAAACGCACAGCAAAAGCAGAGTAACATCTAGATCAGTGAGCAAAGGAAAGGCACTTACCTCCCTGCGGGGAGGCATTCATTCAGGAGTGAGCAATAAGGAAAACAAAAACAGAACAGGACATAAGTGGATAGGAATCAAGAAGARAGTGAATGTCAAGAAAAGTATTTGRCATGATTACAGTTGGTTTCCCTATTTTCATATCCAGTTGTTGCAACCTGTAATTGAGCCAGGCCTACAGCCAGTCTGAGATAATGGTGATCTCCAGAAATGCAGCACAAGTGGAGAGCCACCTCTTGGAAAGCCAAAATGCCGCTCAGATCTGCACACAGGCTGTCATTATGCCCTCTTGCAAGCCCCATATGGGTCCCTACATTTTGGGTCACAACACTCTCATTCRTGCATTCCCCGTTCAGTTTGCAGGCTGCATTGATCCTGTTCAAGTCTCCAGGACTGAGGCATCTCCGTGACATTGCTCGGTGAAAACACATGTAGGGTGATATTGCATTATACCACTTGCTGTAAGGAAGAGCCTCGCAGTGGCATTTCCCATCCAGAGATGACGTATATTAGGGTCTCTGATTGAGAAAAGCTCCTAGGTTTGACTCAAGCCATCCAAATGACTGTTTTCTTTTCAAAGAATGACATTTTTTACAAAGAAAATAGCGCAAGGGTCTTGAGCATGGACCCTTTTTTTCAAGCTGAACCCCCTTAAAGRATGGCCACATTCTGCCAGCACAAGCAACCCCACAGCCAGCTGAGAAATCCAGCCAAAAACGAGGGGAAAAGGTGCTACTTACGGCTCGGGCATGGTGGCGTCACGCTCTTTGCCTGCAAAGAAGGGAAAGAAGCTGAAACGCTGTTGCTTGCAACAGAGGGAAAAGAAGCACCTGGAAATGCAGGACCTGGAGAGAGGGTTTTTCCTTTCCTGTCTTCTTTTCCTGCCGCTTCCCTGCCCACAGAGGATGGGCTGTAGGGTGTCCGCCGTGTCTCTGGGGCCCTTCTGAGGTCTGGTGCTGCCCCGCGCTGTTAGCGGCGGGAAGCGGACAAGCTGCACYGCTCCCAGGAAACCATATTCCAAGCAAGCTGCAGCCTGTCTCCTGCCCGCCCTGCGGCACTCCCTCGGGACGAAACCGCTCTCCTGCTCCCCAGGGTTTTCCCAAATAATCTGAGTTGCTCCACCACTGCTGCTGGCTATATTACACCCTCCAGCCCCCGGGAAGCAGCTGGAGGCAAGAGGGGCTGCAAATCCAACAAGAAATGCAGCACCTCCCGTGTCACATCAGGCTGGTTTAGTCTGTCCAAGAGGAGGCCAGAGGGGATGCAAGAGTACCCTGCAGCTCCCACCGTGCAATCGCAAAGACGTCAGAGCCAAACGCTTCTGAGGAGCAATAGACAAAACACTAAGGGGCGACAGCCACAGATTGCAGCAAATTGGCTGAACGTATCCCACGAGGGTTCCTAGGGAAATACTCGTGATTTCATATTTTACATTCACTTGGTAATCCTATTCCCTGGCAGCTGCTTACAAATGTGCTGCCTCTGCTCACTTCCTCCTGCGCTGCCTTTAATGCTTCCCATTCCTGCCAAGATGCTGGGGCACCACATAAATCTAAGCCATAGAAAAATCTGTGGGAAAATGCAAATCTTTTTTTTCCTTCTTTCCAATCAGGAAAAAAAACAAATATTTCCAAACGAATAGCATTATTTTTATCTAGCAGTGGATCTGATCCTATTACTATGGATTCTGTTACTCTGAAATAGCTGAAAAGAAGGTGGAGGGGAAATATTGTTATTGTGTTATTGAGTAGTTCTCTTCCCAGACTTGCATGGAGCTTGAACTGCACCAATCTCAGTGTTCAGTTCTCAGTGTTCAAATCTCAGTAAGTTCATTTCCCAGGTCTCTGCTCTCTCTTGCTGTCCCTGTACCTTCCTCAGCTCCCTCCCCATAATTGCGTCCTAAAGGATTGCAGATATTTGGGAGGAAAATGCCATTGGGAATTGAGTCCGTGAGGAATCATCTTTCCTAGAGCCTTCATCAAAAAACATACCTGTCAAATGTAAGCAGAGCCACCACTTCCATGCTTTTTTAGAAGTTCCTTGGTGATACAGCAGCAGACTCAGAGGACATGCACGGAAGCCAGGACCTCTTGGCTGGCACCAGCATTTTGAGGGCATTGGGTCCCATCCACCTTCTCCAGACCTATCCACCTTCCAGGCAAGCCAAGTGTTCAGCTCTCCACAGSAGAGCAAGGGTTGGGAAAAGCCACCACCTGCCTCTGCCCCATGGGGAAAACACCAGGATACCTAAACGTGGCACCCATACCGGACCCTGAAGTGGCTGTCTGTGCTAATGTCAACCAATTTTAGGGCCAGATTTTTTCTAAACTGGTTTCCGGAGTGCAGCCGGTGCTCAGCTTTGCTGGTCAGACACGTCCTGCAATCCTGCATCCTTGCAGGGCTTTGTTCAGGGACTTAGGGCTCCAGCTGGATTCGGAGCAGCTGAGAGGAACTTCACCTCTTTGCCAGGGACAGGAGAATTGGGACATGTTAATTCTAAACTGTGCTTCTACTCCCCAGACATGAAAAGCTTTAAAAGTTTCAGAAACCATCAAATCATGGAAATCTTTAGAGAACGAATCAGTCAGCCCGGACAACGTCACCCACCCTGGGTGGCTGGGGACTCACCATGAACGTGCAAAATCGCTGCCACACACACTGCTCACAGCCCCATGCGGCACATTCTGGCTCCGGGTTTCATGGATAAAACACGAGAGACAGAGGGAGGAGCCAGATCCCCGGCAGGACACAGAGGCAAATGCCTCCCCAAATAGCCCTATTTATCAGTTTTTAGGAGCTGCGTGGAAAATCGAGCAAATCCCAGCTCCAAAGTCATGCTGGTGTTTCAGAAAGTATCTGTCTTCATGGCAATCTCACCAATCCTTTCTCCAAGCGTGGAGAAAATGGTGATAAAGCGCAGATTTCTTAGGGGAGCCCCTGCCAGGCCCAGCTGGCTCTCTTGCTCTGAGGAAGGAGGACAAATTCACAGAAAAATAAAATTGTAAACCAAAGGCATCTCTTTGCAATACCTCAAAATGCAAACCCTGTTGACCTCACATTAACGTCTGTGTCACCTGCTCCACAAGAGCACGTCCAGGGCTACCCCGACACCCCGCAGGGCCCCCCGGAGTCCCGCACGGGGGGACACGCAGGGCCTGGGGCAGTTTCTTACCTCTGGGCTGGGCAGGAGGGGACAACGATGCCTGGCGTCCGTAGAGCCGCGCACTGCTGGCGCTTGGTGAAGGAGGGGGAGTATTAAATCGCTGCCTGCCTGCAAGTGGTCGGTAAAAATAGCCCAAGCACATACCCCTACTCAGCGTGCGCGCTTGCTGTGAGCAGGAGCACCCCCCGGCACGTTGCATACGCCTGGGCCGCTATCTCAAACCCTGAGCGACAAGGACACGTTGCACGACACTCTGTGCGCCCGCGTGCAACGGTGGCTCCGGGGACATCCGCAGGAGCCTCCCGTGTGTCCGTGAACCCTCATCCCGTGCTGTGCTCAAGGGAAGCACTGTGTGCAAGTGCTTGATGCGCTCGTTGCTCACCCGTGAGCACACCCGTGTCAGGCTGAGCCTGGTGCCAGCCCCTCAGCAAGGCACACTGTCCATGAAGCATGGGTGGATCTCAATCTCTCTCTCAGTCCATCTGCTGTGCTCTTCTCCCACGCAAGCATGCGTATGTTGATATCATAAAAACACCAAGCTTGCAAGGAAGCAGAAGTCACGAGCTAAAGCACTGTAATGATTTTTTTTTCCCCCAGGAAATATCTCAAGGGTGGTGGAAGGGCATATCTGAGGTTACTCAACATCCAACACGGTGATGACACCCGTGTACTGGGACACGTGTGTGCTGTGCAGTGCTGCATCAGAGATAATCAATGAACAGGCTGCTGTTCCCCACAGCCCCAGAGYAGCCCTCAGTGTGCACAGAGGAGCCCCAGCACCTGGGCATCCTCCAAGCTGCACAGGGAGGCTCTACAGAGCTGGGGCACCTCAGGCCTGGGAGGCCTTGCCGGTGCTGCAAGAGCAGGAGGGCAGAATCTGCCCAGAGACAAACAGGGCACATTGATGAAAGCGAACCATCTGGAAAAGCAGAGCAGGGAGAAGCAGGTGGAGCCGGGATGAAGCTGGAGGTAACTTCTGGCCAGAGGGTTTGTGAGCACTGAGGATGGTGCAGTCCTCTCTGTGGGGAGCAAGGCTGGTAGGACTGGAATAACCCCACAGCAATGTCTGAGATAAGGCACAGCTCAGGCAGTTCCCTGATGTCTTTCAGCAACTCAGACCCYGATGTTTTCCAGTGAAATCACTGAAAAGCAGAGCAAATGCTGCTGCCTTGCCACGTTGCCCCTGCAAAGCCCCTATGGAGGGGGGCTTTGAGCAGGAGAGGACTGCTGGCCCAGGGGGCAGGCAGCACCTGTTCCCAGGGATATTTTTAGGGGCAAGTTTAAGCACAAACAATTCCCAGCGTGCAGCCTCGCAGGAACAATGCCTGGTATTTTAATTCCTGGGACTTATTATGGTCATCGAGGAAGCCACAGCCACAAGTCCCATTGTGGAGAGCAAAGACAAGCCCCACGTCCCGCCGTGTGCACGGCCAGTTCCCGGCCAAGCACCCGCTGTCCCACACTCAGTGCCTGCCCTGGGCTCCTTCCCCCGGCTTGGTTGTCGAGTGGGGCAGTTGTGTCCTGGGGCTGACCGTGCAGCAGCCCCAGCTGATGTGATCTCAGCAGCCTGGGGCCACGTTTGGCACCATCCCTTCTTCGAAGCCAGTGCAGTGCCAGCGGCAATGGTGGTGGCAGCCCTGTCTTTGCTTGGTCTGCACTCAACGAGTGTCTGCAAGCACAGGAGAAACCCCATGGAGCCCTGCCCTCCTTGGGGAMCCCTCCAGGGACATTTCTCTTCTCCCATCTCTAA